TGCAAAGGCAAACGGGACTGGGATTTTCACTAAGCGATATGATCACGTGACTTTATGATTGCGTCGCTTAGGGACAGCCATCCCAATCCCAAATTACCTTCCTCATAGTTGGTTCTCACTCACAATTTTTTTGGTAAAAGTCTTCAGCCTACATCAACATTTTAAAGTACTATTTCTGCTTGCATGCTTTTCTCAGGTTCTTTCTATAGACCATGTTGTTTTTTAAAAAATATTTTCTTTTTAGCTTTGCAATTGTTAGGCCTTCTCGTTTGGTTGATTCTTTGTACTTTTACCCCTGACTTTGTTCATGTTCTTCTGAATGACAACTCTTTTTTGTTCTTCATTTGCTGTTTCTGTCATTTGAGTCTTTATTACTTTTCCTTAGTTTTCCAAATAATTTCTACCATCTTCAAAGCTTTGTTCCTCACGTTTTTTATCCAATTACCTAGAATGATTTCTTTATTTTGCCTCCTAAAATGATGACATGCATTTAAATCTGATTTGATATATTTGTATATAGGATATATCTTTTAAGCAAATTGTTTTTGTGCACTTTCACTAGTTCTAACATTTTTTTTCCTATTCCAAATCTCATTTAGTTCTAAGTTTGTTTTGATTTTAAAACTGATTCTTGCTTGTAATCATTAGTTTTCTGTTGTGTTGTTTTCAAATTGAATTTTTTTTCTCCGCCATTTGAATTCTTTTTTATATAGTCTATTTTATCAGTTGGTTTCTATGTTAAATTTGTACACTGTAAATTTATTTGTCTAAAAAAAAGAAATATTCTCTTTTCTTTTTTCTCAGTATTAATTTTTTAAACAGTTGATCATTTTCTCTCTCTACCATCCTCAGCCACTTGTATTTATATTTATATATCTGTTATTAATTTTAATGAGATTTATCCATATTGTTTTCTCTTTTACTTTTCCTAAATGTTTTCAGGTCACTGTAACTGGTGCCTTATGTAGTTGTAAAGCAGTGACAGCTAATCGTTTCGGCATCATGTGCCGAATGTGCACACGCGTGTGCCTGCACCCATAATGCAATGTTTTCGTGACACCTCCCACCCCCTGAGCATGCGCACATGACCCCCCCGTGCACCCCACATGTACCACTTGCCTCTGTGCATGCGCTTGCTACCTCCAGTGTGTACCCCGCTCCCTGCTCATGCATGAGTATCTCTCATGCTCCCCCTGCACATGCTGGCAGGAGGCGAGCGTGCATGCGCAGTGGATCTGTTCCGGGTGACGGCTCTGCGTGCCACTTCTGACATGCATGTCATAGGTTTGCCATCACAGTTGTAAAGGGTTCGCTTGTAAGACTATATGCATATGCAAGTGTGTGTGTGTATATATATATATATATATATATATACATATATGTATATAGATGGTTTCTTAAAATAATATATCTAGCATTTTGGGATTTTTTGTTATTGTGCAATGGAATGAATGCAATTACATTATTTTCATTATTTTTTTGTTTTGATTTTTGGATTTATATTACACATTTTAAGGAACTTAAGGCAGCTTTCATAGTTTTCTTTCATCACATTTTTATCCCACAGCAATACCTTGTGAAATAAGTTACCTGAGAAAGTGCCTGGCCCAGAATCATCCAATAAGATATTGTGGTAGAGATTCAACTTGAACCTGAGTCATCACAGTGCCAGTCCAGAATTTTTAGAACTAACTTATTTTGTCTTTGTGATGTCAATGTGTCTACTCTGAGAAACATTAAGTTACTGTTTTTGTTTCCCATCCTGATTACCTCATGACTGTCTCCTCATATTTTAAAGCTATATCTTTTGCAGATACATTCTTTTCTTGTTTTGCCTTCTAGCTTTCTTATTTTTAAAATGTTATTACAACACCTGCTTTATATTTTGTATTAGGTGTACTTTTTGGACAGTTTCCAAAATTACTTTCATCAGTAGAACACATTATAGCACAGTTATCAAAACATGAGGCAGTTAAAGCATACAATGACTGTGGCCAGCTCTATGTTCCAGACCTTCCAAAAATACAGGTCTTTGATTCCTGACCACCCAGATTGCATTTCTGGCCTTTTAAGAGAATGCTACTACAGACTGAACAGATAGAAATGAGAGAGACGGAGAGAGATATATGCTGAGACTGATTGTTATCTGGGAATCTTGCACCTTGCTGTAATATGTCATTCCATTTTAATCCTTGTATATTTTTATAATTTTCAGTTGTCAAATTTACAAAAGTTGTACACTTTTTAGTTGGATTATTAATAATTGGTACTTGGAGTTTTCCCCCCCTCACAACTGAATTGTGGTTGTGTCCTTTCACATACAATCAAATGGCAGGGTGATGGTTGGAGAGCAACCATCCCAACTGGGAGGAGGGCTCAAGCAGGGAATTAGCCTAGACTCATTGTGTGGCTGCATTTAATTCTGGAAAAAATTTATCAGGAAATGAAAAAAAAATAGGATAAAGACACGGTCCACTTATATTAAACACTAGAGGACATGGTCAGCCTTTGAGCCTTATCTGATCTTTTCTAGGTGAAAGCAGCCAGTCTGTGGAAATTCCTGTATTATAGGCAGAGAACAATAAAGTAGCTAGTTTGAACTCCACATGTATAGATCTGGAAAAATTGTCACTGTGCTATCCTAAAAGGTAAAAAGGTTCAGTAGGCTAGTTATAATCTCTCTCTCTCTCTCTCTCTCTCTCTCTCTCTCTCTCTGTGTGTGTGTGTGTGTGTGTGTGAGAGAGAGAGAGAGAGAGAGAGAGAAATTGGCTAATTGTATGGATAGTTCCACTAGAGAGGTGCAGCTGAGAGATCTCAGATGTGTTGGGAAGAGAAAGGAGGTTATTCTGACACTATAGAATGCAAAGGATGGAAGGAAAGTTCCTTAAACAAAGTCTGAAAGAAAATTAGTAGGAGTTAAGTTGCATCCAATTCTGGGAAAAATGTTTCAGGAAATAAAAAAATTAGGATAAAGACACATTCTACTTATATTAAAGGAAGGAAAGGTCTATACAGGTAGTATTTGACTTATGACCATAAATGAGCCCAAAATTTCTGTTGCTAAGCTGTTGAGTGAACTTTGCCCCACTTTATGACCTTTCTTATCAGAGTTGTTAAGTGAATCACCACAGTTAACCACACAGTTGATAAGTGAATCTGGCTTCCCCTTTGACTTTGCTTGTCAGAAGGTCACAAAAGGTGATCACATGACTCTGGAACACCGCAACCGTCATAAATACATGCCAGTTCTCAAGCATCTGAATTTTGATTGCATTACCACAGAGAATGCTTCAATGGCCGTACATGTGAAAAATGGTCATAAGTCACTTTTTCAGTGCCATTGTAACTTTGAACTGTCACTAAGCAAATGGTGGCAAGTTCAGGACTAGCCGGTACCTGAAATGTCTGAGATTCTGAGAAAAGCTACACAGAACTAGCTGGGAACGATTAATCTCCAGGATTCAGTACGGAATGTCAGAATGTTTTTCAATCTTTTGGAAATAAGTCTCATACTCATCATATTTAATATGTAAGAAAAGAGCAAAGAAGGTCCTACATTTGACTTCAAAAGAGAAGACAATTGACAAATGATGGGTCTGTGAAAAATAACATTGAAAAGGGGAAGTGAACACAGTCATATCTCTTCAGTATATTTAGAGTCATCTAAAAACCTAGCGGCAGAAACGTAACTAGAATACATTCCACAGAGCAGAAAATATACCGCCAAGGTGAAACCCTCATCTGTGTCATAACATAAAGAAAGAAAATTAAAAAAAAAAAACACTTTCAAGGGGACTTGGGGAGAAATTTTATCCAGATACAAGGGATATAAAAAGTGGTACACATTTTCACAGAAGATATTATATAAAATAAGAGTTTCAAGCATTGATATTGAGGAATAAATTGTTGATAATATGATGTCTTTAAAAGAAACAAATTACTCAAAAATTAGGTGGATAGAGGAGGGAGACAGAAAGTTGAACAGTTGCATAGATGAAATCTCAGGGTTTATATGTGTGTGTATGTATACATATATATATGCGTGCACGCACACACACACACATACACATTTCTGGAGTCTATGGCTGAGCTTATAGATGGCTTTGGGTCTCTGGCTACTTAGCCTAGCCATTTATTTATTGATTTGATTTGTATGGCCGCCCATCTCGCCTGAGCAACTCTGCGCAACTCACAATTTGGATAATGATCTAACAGTTCTTGATCTAACAGTAAGGCCAAGCTTTCTATTCTGAGACAGTAGAGTCCCCTGAAGCTAGCCTTGTTCCTACCTTTCAAGAAGTATGAGGTCAAGTAGCATTAGACTCCTATGGGAACTGTAAATATTAGAAGAAACCTTAGCTACTGTTACCGTATACCAGTAGCAGGTAACTTTTACTTTTTTTTTTTTTTGGCTAGAGAAAAGAAACATTTTCTCTCCCCACCTCTCTCCCTCCCAGTTGTTTAGACTCCAAGGATGCGTCTGGAAGCAGAGTAATATGATCAGGAATGGGACCAAGTGTTTTCAGCCAGTTTTGTTTGATTAGGGGTTTCAAAGGGAGAAAGGATTTATTAAGCCCTTTTGAAGGTTAAAATGCTCATGTGAAAAAAAAATCACTAAAATTTCGGCAGCTGGAAGTCAGCGGTTTTGCCACCAGCATTTAATGACATAGTCTGTGGGTGTTTGGAGGATCAGGAGCTTGCATGTGACCCATAAACTGCAGATTACCCACCCGGTGTGAACTGAACGGGGATTTTTATTGCAAATGTGGAAGATACCACATACCTCAAACCACTGGCGGTTCTTTTTTCTCAAGCATGCAAGCTACTGTAGCTTCTATGGTGCAAACTGAAAAGTATGCCATTATAACATCTGGAGTCAGTCCAAAGGGCTGAGCTGTCTTTGTCCAAATCATCACTTTAAATGCACTTTCTTTTTATATGTGACCACAATCATATGCTTGCAACTTGTAGCTCACTAACTTTTTCTTTCTCATCCATAGGCGGAAATTGTCAAGAGGCTGAATGCCATATGTGCCCAGGTCATTCCGTTCTTATCCCAGGAGGTAAGGGTGGTTGTTTACGTGTGCTGACCTCAAATTATAGGGAATTGCTTTAACTAAGGAGGAGCCAAGGGCTATGGGGCAACACAAAGCTTGAAAGTCTTTATATTTCACTTTCCTGCGGGTTTCCCTCTTTGTCCACCCCATCGGGTTAATATTAAGTTGGTCATTCTGTGAACGCATGAAGCAATTTTAAATTGTGATCTACCTTATTTGTGCCAGCAGCATCTCCTCCTTTAGTACTTAGCACAAAAGCAAGCAGGATTCGGGAGTCAGTTTGTGGCAGCAGCCAGCTGGGTGGCTCTGGAAGCTGCAGGCAGGACAAGAAAATTATAGGCAATCTTTTTACAGGAGTTGTTGACCTGGTGCCCTTCAGATGCTTTGGAGTACAAATTCCACCAGCCCTAGTCAGCAATGCCAATGGTTTGGGATAGTAGGAGTTGTAATCTAAAACATACCCGTCTGCCTTTTCCCCTTGACAAGAAATAAGCGGAGCTATACTGATAAGCAAGACTTTATCAATCTATATAGGAAAAAGCCACTGACAGAGCTGTCCTCCTTGCATAGATCTAGTCTTTGTTCCCTTTCCTTTAAAATCTGCCTTAGTTGCTAACATCAGAATATGAGAAGGCCAATTTTGACTTGTAAAACCAGTGGAAACAACTGCATCCCACAGTGCTTCATCCCGCTTCATTGCCAGTTAGGTTCAGGCTACTTTATACAAATGTTTGCCTGTCATGCCAGTACATTGGTGCTCAAAAATATGAGCCTGTCAAGCTGGTATCTAATAGGAGATATTGAAAAATTGCTGGAAAACTGTGATTTATGCAGCCTTCTTGGCAGAAAATATGATGCTCTAGGCAATAAGGAGATAAATACAGGTGTGTCCTTCTCTATTCACCTCCTCCCAAAATCCCTCCCCTCCTCCCCTCCTCCTCACAATTCTTCATATCAAGAAAAAAAATTGCTTTGAGGAAGGGGAAAGAAGCAAGAGTAATTTTTTGGGCAAGGAGTGCTGAATACTCATTTTTTAATGCTAAATGCAACTTTTTGGTTTAAGTTTCTTGGAAGGTTGTCTATCCTGAGTCAGAATTTTTTATCTGTTTCCAATTAATAGCTTGATTTTCTAGTAAAAAGGCTAATAGTCCTCTGATTGAGTTTGTATCTAGCAATGTGAAACATGCTAGTAGTTAAGAATACTAAAACATTCTCTTCTAGATTTGTAGTTTGTTTCCTTACATTGGTGATTGCAGCTTTTGTATGTTTCTCTTTGAAATTCTGAGGATATTTCTCTTTGCCCAATTTTATGTAGTATCCCAATTTACAAAATCAGTTTTTCTTCCATGTATAAGCAACAGAGTAAACTTGAAAATGGAGGGGGGCACAATTTATTGATTATCCACTAAAATTACAAATACATCTTCAGCAGATGATCAACAATAAAAGTGTCTTCTTGTATTACTTGATCTTATTGATTTCTTAAACAGGTGTTTAAGGATAAATCTCTACATTATGGGAATCTCTTGAGTGCTAATTATATAAGCGATGCTGTGCCTTTCCCCTCACCATCTTCGAATTTTTGTATATCCTGTCATATACTTGCCTAATTAGGATAATGTGACTTTGAAAAGGGCACATATCAGATTTTCTAATAGATTTTAGGTTGACTTCTAGAAGGAAAACATTAACTGAAGGGTTATATTAGTCTCTCTCCTCTGCTCTACGCATAGGCATGTTCCTTGTACTGTGAATAAGGAATTCATATCAGAAGCTAAACTAGAATATTCTCCATTTCAGTGCTACCACCCTGTTCTCTCCTTTCCCCATCAAACATCTGGTGTCCACAGGAAACATATTTTTAAATGGCAATAACCACAGACTTTAGTTTAAGCAATGTCTTCCTAGAATTGTGCTAATCATTGCTGAAATGTGTCAAATTCTCCCACTTCTCTTTCTAAAAAGGTTTTCAAAAATCATATCCACAAATGCACTCTATTTAGAATGGATCACAGTTGAGAAATGCAGAATATTGAATCTCTTAACATTGATTTCTTAGTCTGTTAGTTTCTCCACTACTTCACAGCTCTACCTTGCATGGGTAATGATTTATTTAGTAATTTACCAGATTTGAGTTGGAGGTGGAGTTTGCAACTAGGCCAGTCACATCAAGGCTAAGTGTTCCCTTTATTAGGCTGTATTAGTGTTATTCTGTTGTAAATGAATGCAAACATATGGTCCATTTGAAGAGGTTTGGGCAGTACAAGCTGGAATTAAGGAGAGAGAGCCAGCAAATAATGGATGCTACCAGGCAGCACGCTGCCATGCAGAAGAGTGAAGAGATAGGTGGCATCTGACCATGATAGATAAAGACAGGGCTTTTTTAATCTAAAAGATGCAGGAGCTGTTTTAAAACAATGGCCTCAGCTGGTGGCAAAGTGGCACTGGTGTCATTATGTTGGCTCTGATTTTTTGTCGACACATTCATGGAATAGGATGAAGGGATATGGGATTCTTATAAAGAGGGGGAAATGGGGGTTGAAATGTTAAATCACATGAAATCTCCTTATTTGTTTCTTTGAATTCCATGAAGCCAAATATTAAACCTGTACTCTTCTTCAATTATATATTTGGGGTTTGCCCCTTAATGGGGAACAGATGGCCGAGAGAGAATATACTGAAACACTCCGTTTCTATAGATTTCTAAACCTACTGGTAATTAATTACTTAGCAATGAAAAGTTTCAAGTTACATGGTTCTTATTGAAAACTCGGGCATATTCAGTTCTGAATTGTGCATATCACAATTTTCATGTACTTTTGGGTCAGAAACTCTTTGCTTTGTTCCAAAATCCAAATTTGTTAATGATTCTTCATTATCTTTGTTGACTTGAAAACCTAACCTCATTATAGGTGGCCATATAAATTTGATATAAATAAAAATATAAAATGATGCCTTGTGTACTTTATGCTTTTGAACCTTTTAATGATGACTTTTTGACATGTTTATTGTTTTATATCTTTGTTGTATGCCACCCAGAGTCAGTTCCTGTGAAATGGGTGGCTTTACAAATGTTGTGTGTATGTGTGGATATGCTTATGTATCTACTTTTCTATATCTATATATAATATCACATGTTCATTATGCTGTATGCTCTAAAAATCAATTGATAGTCCTGTTAGAAGACAGACCAGATTGAAGAAAGCGAGAGTTCAAGGAAAGTTGAGAGTTTAGCGAAAGTTCAGAATCAGTATCTAAGGTTTTTGTTTAAATTATTAGTATCAAATTTATCTCACAGGTCACACACATCTCACGGTTCAAAGTGACTCCACGCGTCTTATATCCAAATATCTAAACAATGTATGAATATCAAAACAATTACAAATATGACAACAAATTAAAATTACATTTATTAAAACAAACTAAAAACATGGGTTTGGAGGGGAAAGGTGAAGGATCTTCTTTGTTAGTGCACCAACCATCTCCAGCCAACAGATTCTTCTTCAGGACCTCATACCAGCTGGCATAGCCAGGTTTTAAGGCTTTTCCTGAAAGTTAAAGAGAGGGGGTGTATCTTACCTCATGTGGGAAGATGTTCCAGAGGGCAGGGACCACTGTAGACAAAGATCTTTTTGTGGATCCCACCAGTTGATATTTCTTGGCCGAGGGATCTGCAGTAGGCCCTTTCTGCCAGCATGAGTGGGGCATGCTTTCCTTTGGAGAAAGATGGCTCCACTGATATCCTGGATATGTGCCCTAAAGAGTTTAATGCAGAAGTGATTTTTCACCTGTTTTGGAAGGGCCACTTGTAAAGATCATGTTAAGTAGGTCTTACTTCCTACTGTCAGTTTGAGAACTACTACTTCAGCATTAATACAGGTAGCCCTTGATTTACAACAGTTCACTTAATGACTGTTCAAAGGTACAGTAGCATTGAAAAAAATGACTTATGACCATTCTTCACACTTACGACCTTTGCAGCATCCCCATGGTCATGTGATTTACATTTGGATGCTAGACAACTGGCTCACATTGTCCCGGGGTCATGTGATCTCCTTCTGACAAGCTAAATCAATGGGGAAGCCAGATTTGCTTAACCACCATGTTACTAGTTTAACAACTGCAGTGATTCCCCTAACAAACCTGGCAAGACACATTGTAAAATGGGGCAAAACTCACTTCACAAATTTCTCACTTAGCAACATAAATTTGGGGCTCTGTTGTTGTGGTTGTAAGTTGAGGACTGCCTGTAAGAAAATGCTAATTGTAATCCCATTCCATGGAAGATTCCAGACCTGCTATCTTCCAGGTTTTGAGAAAGGTTTTTACCCACTGCGTGCCCAAAATGGATTCCCTGTGCAGAAAATTACAAGACATTTTTTTAACCATAATTGTGCCTGGAATTATGACCATAAATCAGCAGTTAACTGGGCCACCATGTAGCCATGCTCCATTTTACTACCTTTTTTGCAGCAGTCATTAAGCAAACACTGTGATCATTAAGTGAATCAATTTTCCCCCATGGACATTATTGTGTGATTGCATGATGCTGCAAATGGCTGTAAATGTAAGCCATTTACCAGTGCAAAAATGTGAGGAGACCATCAGAACTTCAAAAGTAGGTTATAAGCAGGTCTAGGAAGATCGGCCATTGTTAAGGGAGGGCTAGAAGCAGCTATCGTAGTGATGAATTTATCACAGCTTTTTCTAACTGCTTTAAGGATTACTTCAAGTTTCTGGTGAGTAGGGTGGATATGTGCAAACTAAACTAAAAATGGTTTCTGTTATGCTCTTCCTGGATTTCCTCCCTCTAGTTTGTAGCTCTGGGATTTCTTGGTGACATTCTCCCCCACCCCCTGGTGTATTTACTAGCCAGATTTAAAGCCTCTTAACCAGGTCATCCATTTGCTGCCATCTGCCCTGATGATATTGGAACTGTAATCTCTTACCAACCTCAACCAACTAAATGGGACTTGTAGGTGTTTCTACTCCACAAACAAACCAGA